TTTAATCATGTACAGATGTAGCACTTCATTTCAGACCCCTACCCATGTGGGTCCGTGATCTGCACGGGGTGGGCCCCTGCTGAAAGGAAAAACCCCTGAAGGACTTGATACGCCCCCTTGATTAATACATTAAATGATAATGAAACCAGCTGCAATGCATCATGGATCCACCAGGGGGAGCAGTGACTACAAAGCTGCAATGCATCATGGATCCACCAGGGGGAGCAGTGACTAAAAAGCTGCAATGCATCATGGATCCACCAGGGGGAGCAGTGACTAAAAAGCTGCAATGCATCATGGATCCACCAGGGGGAGCAGTGACTACAAAGCTGCAATGCATCATGGATCCACCAGGGGGAGCAGTGACTAAAAAGCTGCAATGCATCATGGATCCACCAGGGGAGCAGTGACTACAAAGCTGCAATGCATCATGGATCCACCAGGGGGAGCAGTGACTAAAAGCTGCAATGCATCATGGATCCACCAGGGGGAGCAGTGACTACAAAGCTGCAATGCATTATGGATCCACCAGGGGGAGCAGTGACTACAAAGCTGCAATGCATCATGGATCCACCAGGGGGAGCAGTGACTACAAAGCTGCAATGCATCATGGATCCACCAGGGGGAGCAGTGACTACAAAGCTGCAATGCATCATGGATCCACCAGGGGGAGCAGTGACTACAAAGCTGCAATGCATCATGGATCCACCAGGGGGAGCAGTGACTAAAAAGCTGCAATGCATCATGGATCCACCAGGGGGAGCAGTGACTACAAAGCTGCAATGCATCATGGATCCACCAGGGGGAGTAGTGACTAAAAAGCTGCAATGCATTATGGATCCACCAGGGGGAGTAGTGACTAAAAAGCTGCGATGCATTATGGATCCACCAGGGGGAGCAGTGACTACAAAGCTGCAATGCATCATGGATCCACCAGGGGGAGCAGTGACTACAAAGCTGCAATGCATCATGGATCCACCAGGGGGAGTAGTGACTAAAAAGCTGCAATGCATCATGGATCCACCAGGGGGAGCAGTGAGCTGCAATGCATCATGGATCCACCAGGGGGAGCAGTGAGCTGCAAAGCTGCAATGCATCATGGATCCACCAGGGGGAGCAGTGACTAAAAAGCTGCAATGCATCATGGATCCACCAGGGGGAGCAGTGACTAAAAAGCTGCAATGCATCATGGATCCACCAGGGGGAGCAGTGAGCTGCAAAGCTGCAATGCATCATGGATCCACCAGGGGGAGCAGTGAGCTGCAAAGCTGCAATGCATCATGGATCCACCAGGGGGAGCAGTGACTACAATCTGATATAGCGGATCTTTGTTCAGATCCATATGTCACGGATAGGATCATATTCTGTGCTGAATAAGAGACGTGTAATCATTTACAAAACATCCCCATGTTTTTATTTAACAAAATAATGTTGTTTAATCCACGTTGGCGTAAGTACAAAACCATCGGTTTGTTTTTTCATCAGGAAATGCAGACCGGCTCAAACAAACGATTTGTAATCATCATCCTCACGATCATTTAAAGTATCATATGTTCGCTGAATTGACATGAAAGCACTAATAAATGTGGTTTAATCCACGTGAGTTAACTACAAAGATAATCGGTTTGTTTTTATATCACATCCGACGGGAGGAAATTCAGCACGGCTCTCACTACCGATTTGTATTCCTATTTTAATCATCTTCACTACGATCATTTATGTTTGTGTTCACTGAATTGAAAGCACTGACAGATATGAATATACTCTAGCCAACTTCATTAAAACGTTATTAACGTGCCAAAACTCAGTAATTCACTAAAAAGAGGTTTATTTTTAATGAAGCCTCGTCATCTCCCCACGGGCAAGCGGGCTATAATATTATACTATTGTTAATAGTTTACTGTATTATTAGTGTTTAGTATTACTGCTCTAACAATCACACATTGAGTTCATTGTCAGAATGAAACGGCAGCTCTTTGGTGATCAGCTGTGTGTTTGCACCCCTCATGGCCCATCAGCCACAGCTCTGCAACCAGGGAGAGCCGTGATGGACGCTGCCACAATGAAACTCATATGAAATAAACAGCTGATTCCTCACTCACACAGTAGTCTGTTGTTTATATGCATAAAATAGTGAGAAACATGCCTCTGGTTAATTATTATATAACTTATTTTCTCCATAAAAGCTGGTGGGCTGAAAGCAATAGAGAGACGAAGTCCCTCCCCTTCCGGTTGAGCTCCATGGGACCTTATTTCGGTAAAAAGTTATGCATTGAAGTCAATGGAGAGAGAAAGATTATCTTTCGATCCCGTTTGAATTGAGCCACGAATTACACATAGTCATTTTTTGACTTGAAAATTATCTTTTAAATTATTATTTCAATAAAAATGTGTCGTAAAACTGTGAAGTAACACTTTTTTTGTGTGAAACCGCTCAATGAACTACATCTCCCGTCTCGCACCACACACCAAGACGGCCGTCACGTTGGCACATTTCACTTCTTTCTTTCAGAATGAGGCGGAAAGTATTAAACGAGGTGAAAATCACCCCAAGTCTGGGCATCTTGAGAGCTGTGCATACACACAAGGAGAGTTAGTCGGTTCCTAAGAGCCAGCATGCGGGACCGGGACTCTGGGATTTGTAGTCTTTCTAGTTGTGTATTTTCCACTATTCATTAACCCTGAAACGGTGTGGCAAAGCTCTACCATCCCCCCTCTGTTAGCAAGAGGTAGTAGCCTATGTTGCGGGCTCTTTGTTTAAAACGAATTGCCCATCGGAATGTGTGGAGGAAGTCTCCCAAGGGCGATGGGAGACTTCGGACTTTTGTCACATTCCGATGGACTATCGTAATTGCATGTGTGGCACCCCTGGGATGTGTGACCACATTAATATAATAAGTATTATATTTAGAGTTAGAATATGCCTTTATTTTGTACATCTGTTATTTTCATTTCACTAACGGGGTCGATAGATGCAGTAGTAGTGAGGCGGAACGTTTGTGTTCGATTCAATGGTTCCGGGGGACCGATTAAAGCGACGGACGTTCCCGGGGTTTCCTCAGAAGTAATCTGGAAGGAAACTGAACACAAGGGGTGTTTCTCAATCGCGAGTACGCTTGCTTGGTAGCACATGTCTGCCGAGCATCTTGCTTCAGAAGCGAGTCAAGAATACTTCCTGGCATTTGGAAAACAAAGAGTGGAACACGCTAGCAAGTGTGCAGGTGTGCGTCATATGAGAGGCCCCGCCTCTTACATCTTCCGCCACAGATTTGGGGAAATTGGTCCGTGCGCAAAGCATTGTGGGGATTTAAGACCGCGGAGTCTACTCATGTGCAGCCTCGATATTTCTCCAAACGGAGTACGCCGGGCTCGGTAGATTTCCAAGTATGCTGGAGATTGGAACAGTACTTCGGCGGCACTCGATGACGTAGCATGCTTGAAATAGTGGCTCTGGAGCAGCTTTACTCGCGATGGAGAAACACCCTCTGTGTGTGTCAGGAAACACTCTGTGTGTGTGTCAGGAAACACTGTGTGTGTGTGTGTCAGGAAACACTCTGTGTGTGTGTCAGGAAACACTCTGTGTGTGTGTGTCAGGAAACACTCTGTGTGTGTGTGTGTCAGGAAACACTGTGTGTGTGTGTCAGGAAACACTCTGTGTGTGTGTCAGGAAACACTGTGTGTGTGTGTGTCAGGAAACACTTGTGGTGTGTTCAGGAAATGGTGTGGTCAGGAAACACTCTGTGTGTGTGTGTCAGGAAACACTGCCTGTGTGTGGTTCCGGAAACCTCTGTGTTGTGTGTCAGGAAACACTCTGTGTGTGTGTGTCAGGAAACACTCTGTGGGTGTGTCAGGAAACACTCTGTGTGTGTCAGGAAACACTCTGTGTGTGTGTGTCAGGAAACACTCTGTGTGTGTCAGGAAACACTCTGTGTGTGTGTCAGGAAACACTCTGTGTGTGTGTCAGGAAACACTCTGTGTGTGTGTCAGGAAACACTCTGTGACCAGGTTCAAACAGATCCCAGGACTGGTGATGGTGTTTGTTTTTCCACACAGACCAGGCATCCTCATTCAGGTCCAAACCATTTGGAAACTGAGGACGTTTCCATCAGCGAGAATCCATTCAGTCCCTCAGAGCGTAAAGATCAATATGAGGACAGTCAGCTGACGCACAAAACATCTCCCACAAGAGAGAAACCATTCAGTTGCTCATGTTGTGGTAAATGGTTTGCAACAGAAGGAAATCTGACCAGGCACATATGTGTCCACACAGAGGAGAAACCACCCAGTTGTGCAGTCTGTGAGAAAAGTTTCCTGCTGGAGTCGCAGCTCTTGAACCACGAGTGTGTCGGCGAGCCCTCGCAGCGTCACACTTCTAACCCACTGTTCGACAGCTCTGTGTGGAACAGTAATAGACCGAAAGCACCAGCTGCCGGTTACCAGCAGAATTCAGAAAAGTCTGAAACCGAATGATGGCTCACTTTGTGGTATCGCTTTTTCCAATCTTGAAAGTTCTCAAATGCCTGGTCAGTTTGGGGAGAAACCTTTCTGCTGCTCTGTGTGTAACTCAGGTTTCAGTGACAGCGAGGCTTTAGTACAACACATGAGGATCCACACGAGACAAACCCAGTTTTGTTGCTCACTTTGAGGTAAGGAATTTCCATGGAGAAGATCTCTGACTAAACATATGGAAGTCCACAAAAGGCCGAAATTATGCTGCAGTTATTGTAACAGAATGTTCCCTTCGCAATTTACGCTGAAATACCATGAATGTGAGGGTAAGTCCTCACAGCCTCTTCAAACAGAAGATGTAGAAACAGAAGCTGATGGAGAGGACTGTGGAGGACCAGAACCAGCCAGGAACTCAGATCCAGAGAGACATTTACAACCAGAGACTGAGGACAAGCCTGGAGACTCTTCTGAACCTGAGACTGGAGACAGAGAAGACGATGATTTTTGGAAACAGAGCAGTGTAGGCCTGTCAGATTTAAACTCTCTGAAACATACATTTTCCCACAGTGGTGAAACATTTAACAGCAATCACCAGGGAGAGGAATTGTTTACTGAAGGTGGAAATCAAAACCAGCATATGCCGAACCAGGAGGACCCAGAGCCCCCCCCACACATTAAAGAGGAGCAGGAGGAACTCTGGAGCAGTCAGGAGGGAGAGCAGCTTCAAGGGCTGGAGGAGGCTGATATCACCAAGTCCACATTCACTCCTGTCCCTGTGAAGAGTGAAGATGATGAAGAGAAACCTCAGTCCTCTCAGCTTCATCAAAGACAAACTGAACACCTGGAAACAGAAGCTGATGGAGAGGACTGTGGAGGACCAGAACCAGCCAGGAACTCAGATCCAGAGAGACATTTACAACCAGAGACTGATGATAGTGTTGATAGTGATTTTTGGAAGGAGACCAGGGAACACCCGTCAGGTTTAAACATGTTGAAAAATAATGAAATCACTGACAGCAACTCTGGAAACAAAGCGTTGAGCTTCCCTGGGGCTGAGAGTGACGACAGTGTCGACAGTGATTTCTGGAAAGACGACAGGAAACCTCAGTTGGCATCACCGTGTTTAAACGAAAATCAAGTAGCTGAAAGTAAAACATTCCGGAAACCGTACAGCTGTCCCGACTGTGGGAAAAGGTTTCCCCACAATGCCAGCCTGAAGAGCCACATGAAGTTGCATACGGGCGAGAAAACCTTCGTCTGTTCTGTTTGTGGTGTACGATGTCTTTACAAATCCCACCTGAAGATACACATGAGAACTCACACCAGAGAGAAACCATTCCCATGCCCAGTGTGTGGGAAAACATATGCACACAAGGCAAGTATGCACATGACCGTCCACACTGTGGAGCAACGGTACAGCTGCAGCAAGTGTCACCGAGGCTTTGCCTGGCATTCAGAGCTGAAGTACCACCAGTGTGTCGGGGGATCATCCCAGGACCACACGGACCAGGGGGAAACCCTATAGTTGCTCAAGTTATAGTTGCATCTTTAAATGCATTGCTGTTTAAAACTCAGAGAGACTCAGTTTACTGTCATGTGACAAAATAAAGCAGCAAGCTCATATTTGAGGATTTGTGAAGCTGTGGAAATGTTTGCATATTATCTTAAAAATAATGAATATGTTCAAAATGTAATTCTGATAAGGTTTATTATTTGTCAGTAATGTTTTGTGTAATTTTCTTTTTATTATACATGATCCTGTTTGTCCTTTTTCTTTCTGTATTTTATGAAAGAATGAATGTGTAATGTATTCATAAGTGGTACATCTCATTAAACTACAGGAAGATTCAGGGGATTTCTGTCAACTCTTAAAAAAATAAACAATAAAACTCTTTCGTAAACTTCCTATCTGTCTCGGTTATCTGACCACATGTTAGTCGGATATTCTTCAGTGTTGGTCAATATCCCTCGGTTTAATTACAATTTCAAAGTTTACAGGGAGATGACATGTCTATGTGGAAATAAACATTGTTTTTGGGTTAAAACTCCCAGTAAAAAGTCAACAAGTTAACTGTAATCAAATAATAGAGTACAACTTTTTAGATTGTGAATTAAAAGTTGTATTTTAGAATATTTGGATCAGATGTATAGTCCTAGTTTTTAGGTAAACAGCATGAGAATACATTCAGAAGGTTATTATTAGGGGATCTTAGTTATTATGGTGGGATTGCATTTTAAATCAGAATCAAGTATATGGCCAGGTGCGTTTACATCAGGGCGCCCAATACGTCGATCACAAGGGTAGTGTGGGTAGATCGCATGGCATTGAAAAAACAAGAAGAAAACATTGAATTGGGCACGACACAGATTGGGCAGGGGCAGGTAGGTAGATCATTTGGGCTTGGTCATTTTAAAAGTAGCTCCCAAGCTGAACAAGTGTGGGCACCCCTGGTTTACACATACAAGGAATGTGCGTGGGTGTATGATGGTGCAAACATAAACAACATACAAGTTTGTATATTATTGACTAAGCAAGGATCAAAATGAGATGTCCTTAATTGCATCTCCATTTACTCTGAGGTTTGTTTACTTACAATATTCCTTAGCTTTCCCCAAAGTGCATAAAGCCTGGTGGTTTCCTGATTCAGTTTGAGTAGTTGTTTTAGGCCTTGAGCTTCATGATATAACTCTCAGCTCAAGACACATATTTTACACAAGGTTTATATTTTAGAGGTTTTATTGATGAGAGACTTTATACAAATGATTATGAATGGACAATCAACCATGGGTGGGTCGTTAGAAAGTGTCAGCTTTATTTTAATTGTACAAATGTATTCTGAACTTATTACAAACAAACATTTTATCGACAATTATTTTACTTGGAGATCAATATTGTGTATCAAGTTCATGGTTTATTTAGTAAGAGTGATAAAGTGCAGCGAGGCAGTCATTCATGAAAACAGATCGTCCCATCTGTAGATCATTCTCATATGATTAAAGCTTGTCCTTTGCAGGCCACTGTAGCTAGTGCGCCACCCGGTGACCTGTTAAGGTAATGGCGGGTTTAGGCATTCAGTAGTCGGATTTATTCAAGATGATGGACATAGGAAGTTCCATGCAACTCTCTGATTGGTCTGGTGTCTTGCCTCTGTTGCATTCACTGAACCCAGGAAATTACAAACCTGCCGTCCTCTCAAGTGTCACGAGGTTCAGTTAAAGCACGGTTAATGTATTATATTATTGAGGGAGAATTGTCCGGGGCTACAGAAAAAAAATAAAATGCATATCTTAATATGCTAAAGCCCCGAATGCCCAGGCCAGGTGACGCCACTGAAACAAACCCATGAGAGCACGGTGCAAAGTATCCAGAGTCTGTAGTCCTGTACAGAGAACTGTAGTTCATCCACAGCAGATGCCCATTGATGACATCATAAACACGTTGGATAGTGTCAGTGAAGGTTTCTCATTTCTGTAATTTCCCCTCCTTGACTCCCCTCCTCGACTCCTATCCTCGAGACTTAGTCCCACCCACAGGAGATGCGAGCGGAGGAGCCGAGGAGGGGAGCCGAGGAGAGAGGAGGGGAGCCGAGGAGAGAGGAGGGGAGCCGAGGAGAGAGGAGGGGAGCCGAGGAGAGAGGAGGGGAACCGAGGAGAGAGGAGGGGAGCCGAGGAGAGAGGAGGGGAACCGAGGAGAGAGGAGGGGAACCGAGGAGAGAGGAGGGGAACCGAGGAGAGAGGAGGGGAGCCGAGGAGAGAGGAGGGGAGTCGAGGAGAGAGGAGGGGAACCGAGGAGAGAGGAGGGCAAGCAGCAGGCGGTTAGAGAAATGAGAACTCCTCTCCTCTGAGCGGTCATTTTAAAGAGACGTCCATTAATGATGACAGGAGGCACAGCAGCCCTCTGTCTGATGGACAGATGTGTTCATGACCACTTCTATATTTACTTTGATTCATTCACAGTGCGGTATAATGAGACAACAGGCTACAGATGCGGACATATATACACACACACAGACACACACACACACACACACGTACACACACACACACACACACAACACACACACACACACACATACACACACACACACACACACACACACACACACACACACACACACACACACACACACACACACACACACATATATTTATAGGTATATACAATTTCAGAATCAAACAAGTATGAGAGCACTCTCATAATAACGTAACACTATCAGAGACTGGATATATCCCCCCCCACCTCTCTGGTCGCTACAATGAGGAAATGAAATTACGGGCCAAGAGTTTTATTTACAAGTATTAAAAGTAAGCAGAGGACACCAAACCAACTGAGACCTGTCTGTCCGCCGCACCGTACAACACGCACCTATACACTGTACCACACGCACAGGGGTTAAATTGGGATTTGATATGTGGGGGGGCTCTGTTAGAAGGTGCGACGGGGGGGGGGAGAGAGTTAGACGCTCGTGAATTGTCAACGGGGGGGGGGGGAGTTGGGTGTTTGTCGGCCGTAAGCGAACCGGGCCGTTGGCGTCCGGCCGTTCTGTGATTCTCCAGAACTCAGAGCTTCCGATTCAGAGCTTCCGATTCGGCAGTTAAGGGGAAAGTTAAGGGAAATTTAATTTACAGCGCTGAGCGAACAATCCTCCGTGTTTGAACCTCTTAAATCGCTGCATAGCCGATTTATTTGGACTGGATTATCCCAGAGAGGCTAAACATTTTTTATAACACAGTTTCAGATTTGTGAAACCTTAGTTCTATTTGTGAAAATACAAAAAAGAGAGATTTCAGTGCTTTTTCGCATCCTGGCCACATTAGACCAGGTCCTGATCTAAAACCACTATACCTAGACCAACCTGGTCTCACCAGAATGCGTGACTCCACCACGATTCCTTAACACCGCAGTGCGTGGTGGAGTCACGAACTTTGCTACATTTACGTGTCTGCATCACGCAGAGGCTTCTTTTATTTTATTTGTATTCATAATCATTTTTATTTTTCGTCAGAATGTATTATGGTGCATTAGTTACGAATGTTTGTTCTCAAAAAACAGTGCATTGTGTGTAATACAACTGTGATTTTTATTAAATGAGTTCGTTTTTAAGGAAGGCCAGAGCTTCAGCTGTGTCAAAGAGATTGTTCCCTTTAGTTTACGTTATTTAAAAGATAATTATATTCCTATTTGATCATGTCCCCTTTATTGTATTACGACCCAGAGAGCTGAGCGTCCATTCCCATTGGATAACGGAGCATTTTACACCCGGAAGTAAGTATTCTCCTTACTGTCGATTGATTTGACAGTGATATCAGCACTACTCATCAACTCAGAAACACCAGATTATCTTGTTAATTACACAACATTGATTGGTTTAAATTGTGTTCAATGCTTTTGTATGTTTCCCCTTCGATTCGGAGAAACAAATATTTGTTCAGAGTTTAGGATGGCCGAAGACACTACACTACCCAGAATCCTCAGCTATTGTTCCACTTTGCCTCAAGCTCTGTGATTGGTTGACCTCCAACTGCATTCCATTATGAAAAAAAACGTTTCGTAAAAGATAAAATCATACTTTATTCAGCAGTGCTTGCTTTACTCGCCGTTAGTAGTGCGTGAGGCCATATGTACAGATATGTACATGGGACATGAAAACAGTGCATCTCATATTGACAAAAATAAACTTCGCTAACCGAGTTTTCCAAATCACTCTAAAAATAAGCCGTTGTGATACACGTGTAGACAACGTCTGCAGAATCATAAATGATCATTACATTGGGGTCATTAAACCATTATTTCGCCAAGATAAAAAACATTAATGTTTTGGATTTTAGTGTAATTCACAAATGTTCCACTAGATTGTGCCACACACACACCCAGGGGGAAAATATAATATATTAACCCAGCAATAAGTGGGCAAAACATGGGTACATTAGTGTTTAAAGTCGGGGGAACTGTTTTAATTCAAGAGGAGAGTGTATTTTAAGTGTTACCCGGTGAGCAGCGCTGCAAACATGGCTACATGAGTGTTAAAAGTGGTCAAACTGTTTTAATTCAGTCATAATTGTCATTTTTCGACTGTGTACATTGGAGTCAACAAACAGACAGAGATATGGACATAAACCTGTCAGTATAGACACAACAATGTACATATTAATCATATTTAATTTATTAAATATACAATAAACTAAAAACAGCAGAATCACTGCTTTAAGCAGCATATCACACTCAAAGGCAGACATACACACACCCAGGGGGAAAAGAGAACACATTGACCCAGGAAAGAGTGCTCAAAACGTGGGTAAAAGTGTGTTAAAGAGTGGGGGAACATGTTTCAAATGACAGCAGACTGCTGCTTGTTTGCAGGGTGACTCAGTTCACTCGTCTCACACACCCAGAGTGTTAACAACATTTTTACAAATGTTATAAATTAGTCTAGAGCTCCATCTATTGTAATTTGAGTGTTTTACACGTCTGTCCATGGAACGCGAGTTTTGCGCCATTTGAGTGGAGTAAACTGATATGCAGCT